GGGGTTACCCTTGAGTTTAATTTATATATATGTGTGTGTGTATATATATATATATAAAGTCTAGTCCAACGGAGATTTTAACAATTTAAATCAGGTTTGAGGGTACACAGACACACAAATAATGGTGTGGATATGCAGAGAAACTCTAGAAGGGACAGCTTCTGGGGTTAATAGGGAAACTCTCCCAGCCACTTTTATCCCAAAATTGGGGGTGGGCTGGGGGGAAGCGTGAAGTCGATGTGAAAAAGAGTTTTTTTCTTTCTTTTTGCCATCTCTTGCCAGAAAGTGTCGCTTTATTTCCAGACGTGCCTATCCCTCTTTTGAGCAGCCGCTGGCCTAGCTCACTCCCGGGGGACTGCTAGCAACAAGGGGGCGGAATGGCCTCCTGGGGGCATTGCCCCTAACCCCCACAGGGCGAGATTCGGATTGAATTCGATCGATAAAGAGGAAAGAAAACTGAGCGCTTCCGCTGCAGAATGTCACAGATCCAACTGAAATCTTTAATTTTAGAAAGAAAAAGTTGGGTTGGTTAACACCCACAGGAGGTGGCAGCAGTGAGTCGCTTTGTGGGGGTAGGGGGATAGAGAGAAATGTTACCACAAGCCTAAGTATTGCAGGTCAGAATAGTTTAAACCTCCCCAAAAATCTATTTAATGCAAATAAATTTGATGCAAAGAAGTTTAATTTAAAAAAAAAACAAACTCCTGTGTAACAGCCGGTGAAAGAGACCAGTTATATGCCAGGAGCAGAGGGTTTGGGGATTGCTAACTGTGCACAGAAACGGTAGTTAGGAATGTGTTACACAGTACTCTGTGAGATGTTCCTGCTGCTTGCTATTAAATAGTCCATTACTGCTCACTCTGCAACACTCCGCCATACGCAGTGTGACTGAGATTTTCGTTTAAGCAACCTGTTCGGAGATGTTATTACACCTCTCTGTCGCAGCTACGACTTGAGCCCTTAAGTGCCCATTCACTGCACAACGTGGTATCAAGAGTTTAAAATAACCTCTGCACCGTCAATAAATGCATGTATCATTCAGTTTGAAGAATGTGCAAGTAGTTGTGGGATTCAACATTCAGGCATAACGAGCTCTCAGACAACAAAACACTACTAAACTACATCAAATAAAATATCAACCTGTTTGCCTCTAGCTGGTTTTAAGGTGTACAGATTTATTGGTGCTGAGCTTGACTGTGATGCACTTTGATCAGCACACAATCAGATCAATACTTCTTCCCATTCCTGAAAGCTGGATCTGATGGTGTATTGGGAGGGGTTAGTGACAGAGAGCAACATTAACACACGGGGTGGGAAGCGTACTGAGCGACCTGTAAGATTGTGCTAGGTTATCAGTAGAAATTCAGTCCCTAAATCTGCCAGCATTTAGTCAATAATGTAATTTAAACAGTGTTCGATAGTTCGCCCCAGCGTGAAGTGTTTCTGAATGGTGTCAAAGGATTTTTTTTAAGTATTAATCGGCCCTTTTCTAATAGCTATTTATTTTTCAGAAGTGGTATTGATGGTCAGACCCAGGGTCCTCATGGTATAATTGCCTGTTTTTAGATGGTTCCTGAAAGTGAGTTCCCTTCCCTAAGGCTGATGGTCATATACAGGCTTACAAAAAAGGATGTTGGCTGATTGTCTGTGGACGAAGAAGGGTGTGTGTTAAGCTATCTTGTGGCGTGGTGGTAACGTCCATACCCCTGGGGCAGAAGGTCCAGGTTCAAGTCCCACTTGCTGTGGAGTTGTCGTAACCTGTCCAAACAGGGGGATTACAAATCGTTACGAAGTTGGATGCCCTCTCTTGAGAAGGCACTAACAGTACAATGTACCCTTAAAAATCCAACCCTCTATACCAAGCTCCTTACTGAAGTGTATTTTATATGCAGGCAGTCTCTTGCCCTTTAGATGTACTGTAGATTGCAACATAGTTGCAGTAAATTCCATTACAAAGAGAACTAGTAATATTGTATCCTCTCCTGTGCTGCAGAAGAAGTCATGTCCGAAGAAAGTAAAACTATTCCTCTGTTTTTCCTGTTCTTAGATTGCCTTCCTTTTTGGAATAGTACAATAACAAGGTCCTATCAAAGATCACCTTTGATTCCTGTGGCAAATGTGGGAAAGTAGGATTATTAGCTTTATATTGTTAGAAACATCCTTTTGTTAGGTGGCAAAAGACCAAAGTACATCTAGCTCACCCTGAAGAATTTGGTAATAAGGTTCCTACGCAAGACTTGGAATTGTTGATGTATTATAGAATCAGTTGCCATTGGTTAATCTGCCACAAACCCTGACATAAGGTAAAGAAAATCCCAGTGGTTGAAAACGCTGGGATTTATAGTTCCAAAGTCTTCTGCTCCTCTCAAGCATGTTAGGTTTTACATTTTTACATTTTTTTTTTGCATTTTACCAGGATGTTACTGGGAATGGAGGTTTGAGTTATAAGGAGAGACTGGATAGGCTGGAATATACTTCTTTCACCGGAGTGTAGGAGGCTGAGGGGTGACCTTATAGAGGTTTATAAAATCATGACGGGTATAGTTAAGGTGAATGGCAGGTGTCATTTCCCTAGGGTGGGGGGAAATTTCAAGACTAGTGGGCATATTTTTAAGGTGACAGGAGAAAGATTTAAAATAGGCATGGGGGCAGTTTTTTTTTTACATAGAATGGTTCGTGTGTGGAATGAATTTCCAGAGAAACTGGTGGATGTGGGTACAGTTACAATATTTAAAAGGCATTTAGATAAGTACATGAATAGGAAAGATTGGAGGGACATGGGTCAGGAGCGGGCAGATGGAACTAGTTTAATTTGGGATTATGGTCAGCATGGACTGGTTGGACTGAAGGGTCTGTTTCCGTGCTGTATGACTCTATGACTCTACACATACCACGTGTCTCAAATCACTTGGATGCTTTGTCGCAAAATACTGGCCTGGATTTTCCAATGGCCAGAAGTTGTTATTCCATTGTAGATTGGAGATGCATATGGGGACTCTGCAGAATCCTGAAATAGCATACTCTAACTAAGTTGCCCAGGAAACTTCTCCCTTCTTTTGTAAAGACGAGGGGCTGGAGTGACGATACGTGTGGGAAAATTCAGCCCAATTATTTTCTTGAAGAGGTGTAGGATTTATTTGGCTGAATCAATATTACCTGGCTCTGCTTTCTCCCAGGGAGGATCTCCCATAGATTCGCTACTGTCTTATTCAACTAATCTCTCCAACTTTGAACAACTCCTGCTTCAGAAAGGGGAAGTTGAGGCAGCGGTGACCTTTTCGAACAGCGCAGCAAGCACTAAAAGCCAAAATGTTCTGCAGCACCTCCCTATTTCTGATGTTGTTTCGTTCTGCTGTGCTGGGCAAACTGAAATAGCTTGTCATGGTTGACATTATCTATCCTTTATTGAATTCCATAAACAGCAATGATATCACCTCCTTTTCCGGTGAGAATGTGCCCAATTTAAATAATCATTTCGTGTACTCCCATCGCTCAATTGTCCTGGTTGCTCTCCTCTGCACCCTTTCTCCAGCATTGATATTTTTGTTTGTAGAGTGGCAGGCAGAACTGTGCAAAGAATTCTAAGTGCTGTTACACCAATAATAGCGACAGGATTACTAGGCTATCTTCATTCAGTATTGATCTCTGACTTGCTTCACTCGCTGCTACCGAGCATCGCTACGCAAAGTTCAATTTACAGCCTTCAGGCTCCAATAGGTTTTGTTCTGCTCCCATGTGAAGCTCTTTGCATTTCTCTACAGGGAGGTTCATGTGTGTCCTCCTGCGCAGGTCACAAATATATTGAAATCTTCCCTTTGCCTACCCTGCGCAGCTTTGACTGCTGCTACCTTCAAACGACAGAGTCGCAGATTTGTATAAGGCCCTCGTGTCTGCATGCGCTGTTTCAGCATTTTGACTTAGCGCCAAACTCCTGCCTTTTTCCCCCATGACCCTGCACGTTGCTTCTATTTGAACAATCTTCTAATAACTCTCGAATGCCTCAATCAAACCTGTTCCCATCGCACTTGCAGGCAACGGATTGCAGACCCACATCTTCATTTGCTTAGCATCAATTCCATCAGTTTAAAAACTGTTTGTTACTTCCAACTGTAGAGGTGAAGATATTAAGTGAAAGGAGTCCCCAAAATAGACAGTTTTGTGGGAGGCCCCGGGTTCACGTTCTTCCATGCTGATGATAATCCCTGTGCAACCAACCCCCACCCCCCCGAGTTCTGTTGGTCAGTCAATTTCAGATCCATGTATTAGTCCTGCTGGCTCCCACCTTATTGTTCGTATCAACGTCTCTTTGATACAAAGGTCTTATCACACCCACCGACTTTCCTTTACTAATGCCTTTCTGTCACAGTCCCCAAGGAACTAGAGGGCATAGGTTTAAGGTGAGAGGGGAAAGATTTAAAAAGGGGCAACTTTTTCACGCAGAGGATGGTGCATTATGGAA